ATAAAATATATAAGACACATGCCAAAAGTCCTGTATACTGTTTCCTAATCCACAGTATCCATCAGAGAAAAGTAATTTGAAGTGTAAGCATTAATTTTTGTATCTTACCAATCACATCACTCTTTTAATTAAGGCCCCCAAAACTTCTCTGTGAGGTTAGGAGGAATAATCCACTTTATGAGTGGGAAAGTCAAGACATTGGTATTAACTAATTGGTTACTGAATTAGTTGAGAACTAGGACTGGAATGTTGTGGCTTGTTTACACTTCTGTTTATTGAGTCACTTGACTTGGAACTTGAAATGGTAGGATCCAAAGAACAAGTGAATTTGGGATATTTGGGTCTTGGAGGGTAGTGCATGCCTATTATCCCTGTTTACAGGTTGAGGCATGAGGATTGTGAGTTTGAAGTCAGTGTGGCCTACACAGAGTTTTGGCCCTGTCTCAAAATGATAACAATAGTAATAATCATGATAGCAATAGAGTGGACTGTTTCCAGGTGTAGAGAAACGGGGATAAGAGGGTATGTGTCCACAGCTGGTCTCCATGCTTGCTTGCATAGTTTCCAGGTAAACCTCATACTTAGGATTTCCACGAGCTTCCATACTCCTGTCTGGAGCCCTCACAGTGGTCAAATCAGAGAGCTCAGGTTTGTATCTCAAAGGATCCCACAGTCTGGCTTCCATACCTGGCCCCAGTCTCCTGTCACCCAGCGGGGAGGAGGGCAGCGGCCCAGACTGCAGCGGATGCGAGCAGGAGGCTTGCTCTCCTCCGGACACTGTGCAGCTGGGAATGTTTTAGAAAGGTCACTGCTCTTGCACAGAACAATCCGATGCTTGAATCCTGGACCACATTTCGGAGTACACTGGAAATAAAAACAAACATTGAAGAACAACAGTTTAAATACAGGGAAATGTGAAGAGACTATTGAAGTAACTGTGCATATGTATACAATACACACTGTAAGAAAAAGCTCTCAGTTATGAAGCTCCTTCACCAGTGTAAGGGGAAGTACTTTAATCTTTTCCCTAAGGTCTTTAAGAGCTAAATTCAATGTTTGCTTTTCTTGGCTAACATTCTCTTCTTTTATTAGGGATAGGCTTATTCCTCCATTCTTCCCCAGCCTTGGCCTCCTTCAGCTGTGATAAGAGTCTGCTGAGTTTTGGAATGTGGAAGCCTACTTGCTGGGTGTAGTCTTGAAAGGGAACTTTTGTGTTATTAGTAGACCACAAGAACGTGTCTTTGTGGAGAAAGTGGGTGGTGGAGTAGACCAACTGTTCCACAGTGTGGTAGGCAGTCAAGGGCACCCGGCTGCAGCAAGGGCTGTCGCACAGACACCTCTGCGCGTCTCCCTGTCCATACGGCACAAACGCTAAGAACTGGGTGTCTGCTCTTCACACTGAGAAAACGACGCTTCTTCTATGTCACAGATCCTTTCCTTCCCCTGTCTCTAGATGCTTCTTTAAGTCACCTACTTACTGCAGTGGCTGACTGAAGTTTACAGTTTTCTGGACCCTTCCTCCAAATCCTCTTCAATTGAGGACTTACAAACATGTGTGAGCTGTTACTTGTATCTTTCATCTAAACATATTTCCCGATCTTCTATAGCAGTGGTTCTCAACCTGAGAGTCGCAAGCCCTTTGAAAAACCTCTATCTCCAAAAATAGCATTAGGAAGGTTGAGAACCACTGCTTTATAGCATGGAATTGAAGGGTAGGACATGAAAGAAAATAGAGTAACCATGTTCAAAAGGCCTGTATTCTTATTTAGGAGACAGGCATGTAAGCACAAGGCTAATGCCACATGTTATGAGAGTGGACATAGGAAATAAATTCCTGTGTGCTTTATCATCATTGACTTTTGACTGGTTTTATTAGGTGAGCCTGGTGTATTGGCATAGAGAAGGAGCAGAATATTGAAGTTTTTTTTTTTTTTAGATTAAAAAAAAATCAAGGATTCTATATAGTCTCTTTATCACAATGAATCTAGTAGTGGAATGCATTCCCTCCAATTTAGAAAAGACTCATCAAGATGTATTTTGAAGGACAACATGCAGTACTTTTAAGATCCCTTCTGAGGAGACAAGGCCTAGGAGTTAAAATCAAGAGACAAAAATCTTGATCTCTTACTCATTTTCACAGTAAAATCAACACCCTTGTATCACTGCTACTGCCTCAGTCTCCCCATATAACCCACCAGGTCTCATTAATTCAGCTCTTTTTATTTTTGTGACTTGTCTCCATTTCTACCACCATGAATCACATTTCATGTAAATATTATTTCCCACATGAAATTTTATTACTGCTTCCTAATACTTCTGCTTCCTGCCTTTACCTCACAACAACACATTTTATGAACTTCAGAGGAAAGGCATCACATGAGGGTCTCTGAGGATAGAGGGAACTACTCTACATTTCTGAACATTCTTATTCCATTTGATCTTAGTCAAAAGCTGAGAAGTGTTCACACATTCTTATTCAATGACTGCACTGGGTCTCAGCCCTACAGACCTAGCCACAAATACTCCATGTTTATAGCCTGACTGTCAACTCTGGTCTTTAAATATTGTATTACTTAGGCATGATAATAAAATTAAATAAAAAAAATCACTTCTAAGAAAATACTAAAGGCAGGGGACACCACTCAGAACAGGGTCATTCAGAGTGTAACTGCCCAGCAACTCCTCTGATCATGCAATCAGAGATGGGAGCAGAAAGAGCAGGGGAGTTTTCATGGGTGTGTCAAAAGAAAACAGGACACAGTTTTGTAAAGGTTGGCTTAAAAAGAGATCCAATGTTGCCTGCTCTTCTCCAGAGCTACCTTCTCGCACATGAGAATTCTGTTCCTCTGAGGCCAGGGCTTATGCTTTCCTCTTCAGCTGTTCGCACACTGGCTTTTTGGTGCTATTTATCCTTCCTTCCATTAACCCAGTTAGGGGAAGGGTAGGCTTCCTGGTAAGTTAGGAAAGCGAAGTCTACCTTTGCTAAATAAACTGGAATGGCAGACAACAGCCATTTCCTCCCTCTTGACCAAAACCCAGTGGCAGTAAAGACGGCGTCCAGTTAGACAGCAGTGTCCGCACTTCCTAAATGATGCTCTGCCCTGACAGTTTCCTAGGTCATCTGGGGAGAAGCACAGCAGCTCCTAATGCTTTCTCTAAAGCGCCAGTCCCAACACGTGCACCCCACTTCCCGGCACTTCTTTCCCCTACGCTTGATTCAGTTATTGTAAACAAGGTATCAGAAATACGACTAACATGTCCTGAGCATGCATGCCTACAGCAGGCAGCCCCCAGGGGTGCCTCTGGGCTTCTTAAAGCCATCTGAGAATATCACTTCAAAGATCAGCTAGATAGATTCAGAATTCCAAAGAAGCCTCAGTATAATCAGTCTGCAATTAAATGCAGAGGACACTGTCTAGTTTACTGATAGGCTTCATTTCAGACATCATTTAAAGGTTTCCTTCTTCAAAGTGATTGCCTTTGGTTATTTCATCTGAAAGCAAAAGGTCGATGTGAAATGAACCTACTTTACCTGTTGGCAAAAGTTTCCTCCTGTTTCTCTTTTTAACAATGACTTGCTATAACCTTTGTGTTCTTTTCTCTTTTGCTTTTCTTTCTTACTTGAGGAAGAAACTCACTCTGCAATCCAGGCTGATCTGGAACTTACTTAGTATGTTGCTCAGGCTGGCTTCCAACTCACAACAATCCTCCTGCCTCTAATTGCAGGAATTACTGGCATGAGCATTACAGTATTTTGTGTTTCTGTTCAGATTTTTTAAAACAGCTTCCCTCTTCTCTTCAAATTCTACTGTCCTTCAATACTCAATTCCAACAAACTAAAAAGGCTTCTGATCCTATTCAGGTTCCTCTTAGGAAAACAGAGCAGTGAGTGAGTGAGGAAAGCCTTACACAAACGCCACAAACTCAGCAAAGACAGAGATCACTTCCTAAGGGTGGCAAAGCAGACTAGGCCCTCTTGAAGATCTGAAGCCAATTAGAACTGGCCATCACAGACATACTCCAGAGTGTCTGAGGCCAAATACATGGTCTTCCTCTCTGATTTGTATGATATCAGATTTGTCATCATTATTGGTCAACATCTATGCATTTCTCTAAGGATCCTAGTCATGGATATTCACAACCATTGTTATCAATGCACATAAATGTCCCGCTGATTTTAGACATTCATGAACTCCCTGTGGGGAAAAGAGGTCTGTTTTCCTTTTTACAATCAGACTATATCGTATCAATGTCTATATGCTTGACAGAAACTAGGAGTCCAAGTAAGGTGGGCAGAATGTGATTACAGAGACTGTGATGTAGCCAGGCAACTTGAGAGAACCTGCATTCCTGCCAGAGATGCCATGGATAAATAACCACAACTGCTCAGAACTTTGCTTCCATGGACCATTTTCTTTTGTTGGGGGGGAAGAAGAGACTAAGGTCTTTCTATATAACCTTGACTGGTCTGGAACTTGCTATGTAAATCACTCTGGCTTCAAACTCATAGAGATCTGTCTGCCTCTGTCTCCCAGCTGTCTACATTAAAGGGATGTGGCCACCATGACCATCTTACTCATGGACTAATTTTAACGAAGACCATTCAAGGAGCGAGGGAACTGTGACATACAGAGGTTCCTAAAGGAAAGTCTTTAAGTTTTTTGTTTGCTTCTGACAAACTTAAGAGGACTCCCGGGAATGCTCAAAGTACATAGCACAATGTTTCTAGCAGGATATTATAGAACAGAGTCTAACACAATCCTGTTTTATTGACTTGAAAGAATTCTCTTTAGGTACCCATTATCCTTAACATTAACCAACACTACAGAATGATTCAGCTCTTCTATGGGAAATGTGAAAAGTGTATAGAGCAATGGTTCTCAACCTGTGGGTCACGATCCCTTGGGGTCGAATTGCCCTATGACAGGGATTGCCTAAGACCATTGGAAAACACAGAAATTTACATTATGATTTATAACATTAGCAAAATTACAGTTATGAAGTAGCAACAAAAATAATCTTATGGTTGGAGTCACCACAACATGAGGAACTGTATTAAAGGGTCATAGCATTAGGAAGGTTGTCTAGGTGGAAGTTTCTGTCCTACCAGCAACTCCCAAAACCCAGCAGCTGCTTCCCAAATATTTGACTTGGAGGTTTAATATTACTTATAAATGCTTGGGTGGTAGCTGAGGCTTATTACTAACTAGCTCTTACACTTAAATTAACCCATAATTCTTATCTATGTTTAGCCACATGGCTTGGTACCTTTTCTCAGTATGGCATTATCATCTTGCTTCCTCTGCATCTAGCTAGTGACTTCTGACTCTGCCCTTCTCCTTCTCCTCATCTTCAGTTTGGCTTTCCTGCCTAACTTCCTGCCCAGCTAATGGCCTGTCAGCTTTTTACTAACCAATGAGAGCAATACATATTCATAGTATAGAAAAGAATTGTTCCACAGCAAGGTTGAGAACCACTAGTATAGAGATACACACACACACACACACACACACACACACACACACACACACACACAAGCATGCATGTGTGTATCATACATACTGATGGGTCAAGAGTTAACTGCTTAAAACCTTTTACATAAGGTCATCTTTCTTTCTTTCTTTCTTTCTTTCTTTCTTTCTTTCTTTCTTTCTTTCTTTCTTTCTTTCTTTCTTTCTTTCTTTCTTTCTTCTTGGTTTTTTTGAGACAGGGTTTCTCTGTTTAGTTTTGGTGCCAGTCCTGAATCTCGCTTTGTAGACTAGGCTGGCCCCAAACTCACAGAGATCTGCCTAGCTCTGCTTCCTGAGTGCTGGGATTAAAGGTGTGTATCACCATTGCCTGGCATGAGATCATTTTTAAGCACCCTTGCATTATATCATTTTGTTAAGAAGTATGCCCCTATTTCATTTTAGTCAGATTACATATAATAATAACATCAATGAAGATATAATACTTATTTTGACTTTTGGTATGCTATATGCTTCAGCTCCCTTTTTCTTCTCCAGATCAAAATAGGAGAAATTAAAATTATAGACGAAGGGCTGGTAAAATAGCTCAGTGATCAGAGCTGCTTACCTCCAAGACTGCCTACCTGAATTCAATGCCCAGGACCCACACAGTGGAAGGAAAGAACCGACTTCCACAAGTTGGCTTCTGAACTCTACACATGTACTATGGTATGAGCAAGTCCATATATATACACATTCACATAGAAATCAAGAAATCAATGTAATTTAAAACTGTCAAAGCAAGTAAAGTAGCTAAGTTGGTAAAGCGACTTGCTGCCAATCTTGATGACCTGAGTTTAATTCCCACGTTATGGAAGGAGAGAACCATCTTGCATAAGTTGTCCTCTAAGCATGCGCTGTAGCAAGTGTCCCTTCCCCAACACTCAAGTAAATGTAAAGAAAAGGCAAAAAGTATAGCTAGATAAGTCACAAGTGATTTGTAAAGAACTCATACCTAAAATTATGTAATAAGCTATTATATTACTTGGAAAAATTAAATATTAAAAAAACTGGGCCTTCAAAATGGAACACTAGAAAAGGCATCTCTTGGTCTCCATTGTGTTTCAGGGTAAGAAAAGTTCTTGACCCCCCTCCCTTGACCTTCAGTTTCTAAGTACACATCACTGATGCTGAGCTTGTGGAGTACCAGTAAGCACAGCCCCTCAGGGTACCCACCATAACGCTATTTCAAATTCACTTTATAAGTATTTCTTAATTAAATTAATGAGGTTTTTTTGCTCCCAAAGTCTTTTATCTCTGGACAAGTAATTATAAAATATAATATGGTCAAATTCACTCTTAGGCAGTTCTGATGTGTTAAGTCTAATCCCATGCTCAGGCGTGCTTAGATATTAAATGTTTAGGTATAGATAACTAAGACATCTCAAAACACGCAGCCCCAGATTTCCTTACTTCAGACCAGTCCAAAGCTACCCACTGAGGTGGACATGACTGGTTGTTGCAGGACTCTTTCTCCACAGGCCGGTGTGTTAAGCAATCCCTGTAGTCCAGCGTCTCCTCCTCAGATGCTCCGACCCTCCTGATGCAGAGCACGGCCCTCGTGCGCATGCCACCATCACAAGTCTTGCTGCACTCCAGCCAGTCTCCAATGAACCATCTGAAGCAAGATGCAGAATACAGAAAAGAGTGGCTTCATTGCACCGAGGCTTCCGGCTGAGCGGACTCCATCCATGCTTTCCCTGGAAAAGCTGGCAGCTCACAGGCAGTTGATAGGACAATGTCAATGCAAGAGCCATTAAGCAAATCACGGTTTGCTGACACTCAGTTACCATCCAAAGTGCAATGTATGGGCTTTGAAGCAAGCAGAAATTACGTTCAAACAAGCAATGCATGATGTGTTTTCAAACTTTTTGCTTTCTCTCTCTTTTAACATTAATTTCTTAAGATAAAAATTACCTCACAAGATTTCCACGAGGATTAAAAAATGTATTTAGAAGTTCTAGAGCATGCTGGTGAATGTTTAACAACTGGTTATCCATGGGAGGGGCAGAGTTATGATTTGTGCCATTTGCCCTATTCTTTTTGTAAAGTGTAAATACGTCACCAAGGCCAATTTGCAGCTCCTGGTTTGACATTCTGAGTGTGAACCAAGAACACACACTAAGGTAGGGTCTACGGAACCATAGCTAGCTAGGTGCTTTAGACCCACCCCTGAGTGCAGGCTGGAATGTAACCAGCAGGCAGCAGGAAAGACTTTTCTTATAATGACACTGTAACCACTTCTCCCCCAAGTGAGGATCAGGTGCTAAACTCCAAAGGAGCTGGGGACTTGTTTTCCAATGTAGAAATCAACTCTCATGAAGGTAGTAGGACTTCCCAGTCCTTACAGGGAAAGAGAAAGACCAGGAAGACAATATTCTTCCGCCAAGGTGGAACCCTAAGCCAGTCCTATGAAAACACTGAATGGGAGCTTCCTGCTTCTCCCCAGCTCCTCTAGGAAGGAACTCAAATATCTTAGGCCTGATCTGCACTTACGCCTCTCCTGTTCCTTAAGCCATCAATGAACTCCCATGTGTGCAGAAGAAGGTGTTTTTGGTATTACTTCTGCACCATCGCTCTCCTGTAAGTTATCCATAGCTCCACTGGGAAGCATGAGCCAGTTCATGTCAGGAAGATTCTACTTCAGAATTTTCACATCCCAGCTGAAGCAAAAGGGATCCTTTCCCGTCCTGTCAAAAGGGTGCACCTTTTCAGAGCTGTTCGTGGCCGTGTTTCCCTTAAACAGAGAACCCGGGAGGTCCTGTGGATGTCTCAGTCCACGACTCTAGTCAGTCTATGCTCACATTCCTGAGCTTTGCTAGGTAAACCTCACGGACTGAAGTCAGCCAAGTTGAAGTTTTAATCATTTGCCACCAGAATCTTGATCAACATATCACTGTATTTCTAATAAGCATTTGCTGAATGCCTTCCACGTTCAAGGTATTTTGCTTTATTTTATAGCAGAGATAATATAATGATAATAAAGATCCCATGTTAGGAAATAGTTCTCCAAAGTCATGTAAAGGGTAACAATGGAACCAAGACTGGATTCCCCATCAATTGTCATTTCCACTAAATCTCACTGATAACATTGTTGAAAGCAGAATATATATCACACGATATTTTCTTCAATCTATGATTATAAACCACACAGCTGTCATGCTTATGTTCTTGGGTTTGAAACAAACCAGAGAGAGGAATGTGAAAAGCTCAAGAATCAACTTCTCACCCCCTCCCTGATCAAAGTCCATTGTGCAGGTTTTGTATATGAAAGGCAATGTCTTAGGGACATGGGAGTACCAGCACTCTAATGTAAAACTGCATTTAGCCCACCAAGTCAAAATGGCTTTTGCTCAAGATTATTTGTTTTATTATTATTTATAGAAAAAATGAGGTTGATAAATATCATAATCAGTTTTCAAACTTAAAAAATATTTCATAACTCAATAAAACTTTTGACCTGAAATCCATTTTTAAAATTATAATTTAATGTTGAATTTAAAAACTTCAATAATACCATTTTTTTCTGTTAAGTCATTTTCCAAAGAAGATTGAAATTGTTTTCCTTATTCTTTTGTTTTCCATAAATGAACATGATCCTGAGCTGTTAGCACCTTATTTGGTAAGGAGGAAAATGTGTACTGAGAATAATCACTTGCATGGCAGCCATAGTGAAACTCTGATTCAATTGGCAACAGTGATTTCATCACCAAGATTAGGGGATAAAACAGAAATGTGTTTAACTCAGCCACAAAAAGCTCAGTCATACCACTTCCAGCCATGATCTCATTAGGTCTCATAATGTAAGAGGGACGGAGACCTTCAAATTAAACACAGGTGCTCACAGGCAGCGCGATTCAGGAGACACTGCTATTCTTCAGAGCGCAGGGCCAGGGCAGCACTGTAGTTCTAATATTTACTTATTTTTTTTATTATTCTTTGTCTCTTCTTCTATTGTCAATAGTCTTTCTTCAGAATCGCAGTCTGAACTTATCACTCCACTCATCAACTTGGAATACATGGAAGGAAATTATTGACTAAGCACCCTGCCAATTTCCTTCCTGACTGTAATCTCAGGCTTCAAATTCAGTTCTGGTTTCAGCTGTATTGTACATCCTATTATCCCTTCCTGTGTCTCTCGGAAAGCTGATTCATGGTCTGATTATTGCAGTAAATTTTCAACCTTCCCCCTGCATCCGTCTCAGTCTCCCTGTCCTCTGTCTAGTTTAGAATTGCTGCTTCCTTCTCTACCCGGCCGACACCCTGGTGCCTTTCTCTTTGTCTCCTGTTTCCTCACCTTTAGATTCTGTAATAAGACATTTCCAAGGAAATGTCATTTCTGGGAATATCAGCTGTTGGAGCTTTATGACCTGAGACATCTCAGAGCTGGTTCTTTCTCAATATCTAGTTATTGTTTGCTTTGAGACAGACTCTCACTCTGTAGACTAGGTTGGCTTCGAACCTACTGAGATCCACCTGCCTCTGCCTCTTTGAGTGTTGGGATTAAAGTGTGTGCTACCACGCCTGGCTTCTTCTCAATATCTAGTGATCAACATGTCTCCCATCGTTAGGGCTAAAATTAGTGCTCATCACATGGGGAGGGTTGTTTGCTTTTTCTGTCCATTTATTTTTGTCAGACAGGGTCTCACTCTGTAGCCCAGATTGGTTTGGACTCACTATGAACCCTAGGGGCCTTGTATCCCTAGCAATTCTGCTGCAGCCTCTCAAAGCTCTGAGATTAAAGGCATACGCCACAACAGGAGTAATGCTTGAACATCTGAAAACAGAGTGGCTTGCTCTACCTTGTATAATCTGAACTCATTCTATTATTTATTATTAAGAAAATAATACACAGAGGAGGGAAAAAGAGAGGAACTACATAAAATGTTGATCCAAACTTGATAAAAACCAGAACATTTTTGAAGAGCTCATCATAAAAATGGATTTTTCATAATTATTTAAAGGAAAATGGAGCAAAGAAAACAAGCTGTTAGTAAATAGTTATATTCAAAGGAAAATGCAGTCTTGAACTGTGGGTTCAATATCCACCATTTGTGGGACGGAAAAGACAAAGGATTTTCCAGCCTTTATTCCAGGGTTGTCTAATCAACACTTTCCCCCTATAAACACATCACAAAATTAAGGAAAAGCCTTCAGAATTTGGCAGTATCATCTTTAATCAACTAGAGGCAATTATATAACCTATTATTTACTTAGAAAATGCTACAGCTTTCTTCGGTTTAAAAACAGTTCAACTAATTGGAATGTGGAACTTCGATTGGAGAGAACTGTATGCCATAAACATTCTATAGGCAAAGAACTTCCTCAGTTCTTAAACATCAATATAATAAGCATCTTTCAAATTGTGACAACTGGGAATGCTTTGATGAAGCAAACAAAGTCAGACACATAAATGCCACTAGACATTTGGTTTGTAACTTAGAATGCTAGTGATGTCTGGTATAATGGGAAAAACATCACCAGAGATTAAAATCCCTCATCTGTGAAATGATGAGAGTTGGCTGAGATTATTCTATGATTCTTCCTAGTCTCAAATTTCGTAGTTTTATAGAGAATGCTCATGAATCTTTTTCTAAACTTAAAATAACAAATTATAGTTGTCCATGGGTGAGGTTCAATGACTCAAAATAATTGTCAAACATTAAACCATAAAAGATTCTATTAAATAAAGCCTAGCCCCTGGATAAAAATAAATGCCTTAACTGAGCCTGGGGGGCATAGGGCTGTCATCTGAGCTACTTGGGAAACTGAAGCAGGAGGCTTGCTAGAGATACAGAATAAGTCCAAGGCTAGCTTGGGCAACTTAATAAGATCCCATTTAAAAATAGAGTACAAAAAAAAAAAAACCCAAAACAAAACAAAACCAAAAAAAAACAACGGCTAGAAATATAAGTCAGGGGAGAGTCCTGCCTGGCATTTGCAAGGCCCTGGGTTCAGTCCCCAGTACAAACAAACAAGTAATTTTTTCCTACTCTGGCTTCCTTTTATACGTTTGTTCATAATTCTCTTACTACACTTTTATATGATACTTATTTTTATATCTATTTGCTCAGATAGTCTTTAAGAAGCCAAACTACAGTGCTGTGCACATTTTATTGATTAATTGTTTTTAAATTCTAGTCTCAGTATTACTACAATGTATAGTGTTTTTTGTTTTTGTTTGGTTTCTATAAATTTAAAAGCTATAGTATTATAAAGGAATAATAATTACATTAAGGATTCTATATATAGGTCATATGTAGAAACAGTATTGCTATTAAAGCACGGGCACTATGAGGACTGGCCTCTTGGCCTCCCACTGAGTCAGCCCCACCTCCTTTTCTTATGCAGGGACACTAGCTTCCCATCAGTTATATCCTTTCATATTAATGTTTTTCTTTTTTTTCAACCACACAAGGCTACAACATGGATCTATTTTCACTCAGTTCACTACCATGGCCCCAGCAATAGAGGCAGGCAGATCTCTATCAAATTGAGGCCAGCCTGGTCTATATAGCAAGTTCCAGAGCTATATAGTGAGAACCTGCCTCAATAAAATAAAATAAAATAAAATAAAATAAAATAAAATAAAATAAAATAAAATAAAATAAAATAAAATAAAATAAAACAAAATGTTCAGTATTCAGTTCAGTGAAATGGCTTTCATATCTATATTGTTAGCAGGAGTGTATATTCTTAAAATCTTTCTGGGGAACAATTTGGCAATGTGTCACAAATACTAAAATGCTCTCTTACGTGACTAGAAATTGTATTCCTCCTAATGTTGCACAGGGTATAATCACAAACAACAATGTTTTAGTGGCGAAATGATTAGTGCTGTGGTATCACAGGAGAGCAAGAGCTTAAACAGGGCAAGGACTGAACAACAGTAGAATTCAGTTGAAATAAACAGTGACATTACTACTAAATGCTGTAAGAGATAATGTTCAAAATATACCGAGGGCTGACTATCACATATAAGGACTATACCATTTCGTTATACATACATGTACATATATACATAGATGAACACCTAGAAACAGCATATATTAAAATACTAACAGTGGTATTAACAGAAGTTATTTTCTTCGCTTTATCTACACATCACATCAATGTGTACAAAAAAATCCTGTTCCTTTTCTCTACACTCACACTCACATTGGGTCCTATTGAATCATAGCAGTTTATGATGTTCATCCGTAGAATACAAAGAGCTACTAGGAATCTTATATATACATCCTAACCATTTAAAATTTCTCTTTCATTGTCTGAATTCAAAAGATTAAAGAAGAAACTTAAAAGATGCTAGGAAAAATTGACTAATAAATATATAAAAGTATGTATCTTTAACTCTTTCAAAAAAATTGACTAGACTTTCTAATTTTACATTCTCTTTATGCTTTTCTATTGATTCCATCTCCCACCTCCAATCTGAAACAAGGAACTTCATTTCAGAATTACAAAAGGAAGGGAATTAGGAAACTTAAATTTAATCAGATGTATTAATATGACAATTAATATTAACCATTAAAAAAAGCCAGGTGGTGGTGGAGTACACCTTTAACCCCAGCCCTCAAGAATTTGAAGCCAGCCTGATCTGCAGAATGAGTTCCAGGACAGCCAGAGCTGTTACACAGAGAAAGCCTGTCTTGAAAACAAAACAAAACAAAATAAAATTTTAAAAAGCCTTTAATGATATATTCAACTCTATTATGTATAGACCAGTGGTTCTCAACCTGTGGGTCATGACCCCTTTTGGACATCACATCACATATCCTGCATATCAGATATTTACATTACAACTTATAACAGTAGCAAAATTACAGTTATGAAGTAGCAACAAAAATAATTTCATGGTTGGGAGTCACCACAACCTGAGGAACTGTATTAAAAGCAATAGGAAGGTGGTAAACCTCTGTCATAGATGGGATGATGAATGGCTTGAAATCTTCAAGATGTTGGGTGTTTAAGAAAGTAAGCTTGAACCAATAAAGAAGCCACGAGTCAACACAGAACAGGTATAACCAGTACCATCCAGGGGCCTTAAATAATCAACAAGATGCCAAGTATGATATTTAAAGTCTCGAATGTCAGGGAATTAACTTGATGAGCAGAATTCACAATTACACAAAATATGGTAGATCTATTGGGACAAAACCTAGATCATGAATTTTGACCATTGCTTTGTTTTACATAGTTTTAAGACTTAATTTGAGATTAGCTTATAAAGCTAATTAGCAGAAAAAGAAAGCAAGTGGTCTTTTCTAAAAAAAGGTCTAATCAATCTTGTTGCTTTGCGTGCCTCACTTGGCGGGAACTACCGCACAATTTTACAGAAAACTAGGGGGTATGTCTGCAAATATGAATACATAGTGTTTGCTTGCGGTCAAAGAAACAGTTCTCACTTTTTGTCATACTTACTCAGGTGGACATGGCTCAGTGTTGCAGGCTCTTTGATTTTCAGGTGGCTTACTGTCAGGGTCACAGAAATTGTTCTGGACGATGGAGTTGTCATCCAGTCTTTTACAGACCACTTCTTGTCTTTGGGCACCTTTAAGAAAAGGAAGGACATCATTAACTGGAGAGTAGTTTCCCTCCCAAAAGGCGAGGCATGTATTGCTTTCCTCTGGGAGTTACTCTCACTGCGTCCCTGCTGTCCTATCTGTTCCAAAACACTGTCTGCTTCTCCACAAGAAGAGAAGGACTGGTCATTATAGCCAAATTTTAAGCAAAATTATTGTTCCCATATTTAGAATCACAGATGTTTTGAAACTGTGATCAGTATTCCCATTTTTATGTTCATCTTCATGCTTTCCTTTAAAAAATCCTTGAATTTTCCAAAATGCCAAGAGATAAAATGTATTAATATGTATTTCATTAGAAGACAATAGATGCATATTTATTCAAAAACAAAATGACAGGGACTAACTTACTTTTTGATATTTTGTAGGACAAGAGGAAACAAGGTCATTTTTCATTAGGAATACATCACACCCACACATTTCACTTATTTTCTTCCATTTATGATTGCATCTCTCTAAAAGCTCATCAAGTTTTGATTTCAAATGTCATAGACCACTTTTGGACTATAAGAAACTGGTCTGTTTATTTTAACAGAGTTGAATACCTGCTGATTATATATCACTGTCAAAGAGATACATACATAGCTCATTCTAATATAACTTAAAAAATACTTATCTTGCTCTTAAAAATTAGTCCATGTGACTCATTAGCACAACTAAAAACATTCTCATTTTACAATTTACAAAATTCTTAAGTATATGCAATTTATTGGCAGACATACCTACCACAAATTGCTCACATTTCAAGAAATGCGATCACACACACACACACACACACACACACACACACACACACACACACAGACTTTTATTTATAAACATCCTTGGTGGGATTTTTATATATACTTATTTTTGCTTTGTATCAGTAATCAAAAGTCAGATATTTCAAGATATCAAAGAGAAACAAGTGTTTCAGATCATACAAAAGACACTGTCAACATTTTACTCTTGGAAATGGGCAAAAAACACGAGTCAAGCTGTTCCCTGAAATTACCCACTCTGCCCCTATGAACACATAAGCTGAATAACTCAGAGTTGTAAACGTAGCACTGACAGCATGCAGGTAACCACAGATTTCTACTCCAGCTAATTCTACACAGTTCTTCTGGGCTGCTTGCCTGCCTGCCCACCTGCCCGCCTGCCCCTTCCTCCCCGCCTGCCTCCCTCCTTCCTTCTCTTCCTTTCTTCTGGCTATTTTTAAGTTGTAATATAATTTTTTAAAAAGGAGTTTGTTCACAAATGTGAGAGTCTTTATGAAACAGGATCATTTGATGAAGGAAACTTTCCCCTGAAGAACTAGACACAAAATGCTTCTCCCAAGGCTGCTTCGGTCTGGGTTGAGCATGTCTCAGCTGTCCTGCTATGGTCACATTTAACTAAACCCTTTGGATTTGAGCGATTGACAGGAGAGACTATTAAATCTACTGATCTCAGGAGACTAAGTCCTCCAGCCTCCATCTCAATGGCGAGTTGTTGAACAGTTGTGGTCTATTTTATTGCTCGCAGTGCCAAGACTCCCGAGATCGCCTTCAGTAACATGTTTTTGGGGTCTGAACTACACCCAAACAGTTTACTGCAAAATGTCTTAGAGTATGTTGCATTCCTCCCTCCCAGGCCCTAGAATAGCAAATGACAGCAGTGGAATTTTTAGCTATTAAAATCGAGATTTTTGAGGGAAAAATGATTCATAAGAAGCATAGCTGTTATCCATTCACAGATGTTCCATGATATTCATCACATTACCTCCCCATTGTGTCATTCCAGTGGGCAGATAACTATGTCCATGTGGTCACCTAGTCAAATATCTCTGCTGTTAGTCACAGAGCTCGGCTACCAACAGTTGCTCAGATGAGCAACTTGTCCACTCCGAAGGAAATGTTCATTCGTATCAAGAGCAAGGGCCATTAATACAGTATGTCTGTAGACTCCCAGAAAAGGCTAAACATCAAAACTACAAAATGGAATTGATGTTGCTTAGTTCCAGTGACAGGAACTGTTAAGTCAGTTTCTCTAGGTTAAGATAAAAGTTCAGTTTCTTTCAGAGAGCACTACAAATGTTTTTTGTCCACACTGTATTTGTTTAAAGCAGCCTTTATATAAGCAGGTCCTCCGCAATTTGAATCACAGATCAGACTGGTATAAGTAATTAGCAGAGATTTACATTTCATTTTTAGATAAATTCTAGCTTTGTAAGTATCTTGAAAATGTTTGCTATGTAATATTTATTGCTAAAAACTAAGAAAACAGAGAGAACCACACAGATTAAAATAAACATTGAGAATAGTCTCATATTGTTCTAGAGCCTAGAGCTCTTTTGCTATTTGGTAAAACCCAGCTTCTTGAGTAATGCTGGACTTCATATTAAGAATTACAAATTAATTCAACTTTGGCCATGCCTTCCATATAGCCGAAAATCTGGGAACTAAGGGACTTCTAGGTCTTTATAACTTCAGCATGCTGTTTTTTGATAAAGTAAAAAAATTAACATCCTTGAAAACATAACTAAAATTGTTCTATATTTTACAAAGGTATTTTTTCTTACACTCATCTTTTATTTATTTTCTTCTAATATGTTGTTATCAGTGTGGCATTAATCTATTTCAGATCTTCTCACAACACTATATTATTTTCCTTTAATAGAATACATATTTCCTTCCAGGTTTTATTCTTACACCAGGCAGGTTGATAGTTTTGTTGGTTTTCTTGTTTGTTTCTGTTTTGAACCTAAGTCAGTATCAACAGGATGACTATAAAGAAATTAATCTAAATGGATAGAATTTAAACACAGCCTTTAAATCAAGGTGAATACAGCTTTTAACTTTAGAAAGTCGAAAATACAGATCAAGTGGAAATAATCTAAGTGAACAAGAGAAATGGGGTTTAGATTATTTGCATGTGATCATGCTTCATGCACACATAGTCTCTTTTAAAGTAGTATGTAAAACATTGACATGTTCATTTAAGATCCTACTATAATACAGTTATACAAGATTAGAATGCTTTCAAATCTGAAGACCCATAGTTCATGTCCAAAATGTGTAAAATGTCTATACTAGCAGTAGTGCACATCCAGTGGGAAAAGTTCTCATGACTCAGTGTTCCTAGCCTCTGGAGAGAGGCAGATGGTCTGAGAATTTAATTGACCAAATTAAAACTGGCTATATACTTACTGTTAAAAAAAACCTTAAGTTATTAGCATGAAAACTTTTTATATAATCCCTCCACGTTAATAAAAAAGTGATGAATTTAAAGCATTACAAAAGTACAAATAATTTTTAATTTCTTATTTTGTTAATACATATTTACCTTAAACATTTACAAAGAATATGTCCTATTTAGAACCATTTAACTTGCCCATATTTCATTTTTGATATTTAAGAATCAAATATGACAAATGACGGTTTTAAGTCTAGAAATGTAAACATAACCCTGGGGCTAGAGATGTAGCTCTCAGTGGTACAGCATTTGGCTAGCATGTGCAAGGCATTAGGTTCAATTCCCAAAATTTAGAGGGAAAAAAAAAGACTCCCTCACTTTGGGTCTGTGATCTTAAATTTATTAGATCCTATGTTTACTATTCTGCCAATAGTTTAAAGTGGGGATCTACTTGGCTACCAAGAGCCCTGTTCTACCATACAAGACCTGAACTTGGATTATTGCTTAAGTTACACAGCAGCAAATAGTGTTTAGTGGCATATTGTAATAGTATAGAACACAGGAAGAAGCAAGAAACCCACCGAATGGCAAATGAGACCTGGATGAAGCTGTTTCTTGTTCTCACTGTAAGGACTGTACAGGTGGTGGATGTCTCTCAGCGAGGAAACTTCACATTCAGGCCAATCCTGAGTGAAGTCCTCAGAGGACACTGAACTTCTTTGTTTCTGATAATTAAATATTTTTGCAGACTCGTTTATAACACAATATTTGAAGTTATGCTGCTTTTCTTGTGGTGGTTCACCATTAAAGAATTAAGTTCACCAGTTCATTCTTTTTTAAAGTAGAAACCAGAAGTCAGTGCTTAAAAATTTAACTTGGAACAGTGGTACGTGTTAAATCAGGAAGAATGAGGGCAGCAGGGGAGGGGGGGTGGTGTTAAGGGCAAAAGAAAGACCTAGCCATTCTCAATTCTACAAGACCTAACATTTCAGTCCTAAGTGGACACCATCAGAAAGTATGATTAAGTCAATATGGGAAAGAATGAGAGGTATAAATGTACACTTGAGATTGAAGGGATAACTGATCTCCAAATAACTGAACAGAGTGGCACAGTGTGTCATCTCTCCCCAGGAAAGAGATTTCTGGAGAGGAAGAGAAGAGAATACTCAGATTTTATACTAAAAATGTAGCTGGGGCTAAGGCAATAATTTGCTTAGCCACAGCATCTAAAGTAGTTAGCAACCAAGACAACATTATAAAACCACAGCATACATAGCATATGGCCAACAATATTAATGTAATCCTGATTTTCAATGCCTATAGCATCCAAAGAGTGACAAGTGCCAGGAAAACAAAACAAAAATACAAACAAAACAAAACAAAAAAGCCCAACAAACCCTGTTTGCTCTGTCTTCAACTGCTGGAATCTGGCTGTTGTGTTGTGTGATTGTTGGCCAGACATAAGCATTTGTAGGGCACAGCAAAGTCCATCTGCCTTGGATCTAACAGCTGGCACCCAGAGTACCAATCCACTCCACCCACATGGCTTCCTTCTTTTGAAGAGCCCACTGATCATTTTTTTTTTTAATCTTTCAAAAGCTTCCTTTCTTTGCTTTCCCAGTGTTTCCTGTCTGTCCTGGGCAACAGTAGATGTCCCAAGGAAACACAGGATGATCAAAGTGGAAACGTTACTCAAAAAATATTTTAGTTTTTATTACTAGTCATGGTAGCATATGCCTTTAATCCTAGCACTTGGAAAGTAGAGGCAGGTGAATCTCTGTGGGTTCAAGGCCATTCTGGTCTACATAGCAGC